ATACATATTCTTGGTCAGTATCAAATTCTATCACTTTTAGCATTTCCATCCATATTATCGAGCATGAGAATTTTGCTTTTTTACCTCTCTTGTGTCTTATTTGTGTGTTAGATGTGATGAGCGATGGGTATAAAAGGTTCGGTTTCGACCGAATTTAATTTTCTTACTTGTTGTACATTGCGTTATACCTGAAAATTCAATTGTGGTGCACCATGATGTAACAAACATATATGTCGCCTTTCATAGAAATAAGAGCATTTTTTATAATATTATTTATTTATTTATTTAAAATACAAAATGAAAAAAAAGACTTGAATTCACATTTTTAACTTCAGGTTTATGGGTACATAAGGATAGTAGAATATAAGTATAACAATAACAATTGCATTAAATGTAAATAATTGAAATTTTAATTCATTTGATTGTAAGCAGAATGTAAGTATAAATTACATTAAATGCAAATAATACAAATTATAAATCATTTCGCTGTAAGCCGCATGTATAATTGAATAGTGATTAGTGAATATAAAACTAGAAATTATTAACTATGTATTTTTTTTATTGAAAATATCGTAAAATGCGTGTATAAAAATATTTAAAAAATATGTTCTTTATGTTAAAAAAATGTTTGAAACTTTTTTGTTTATCTTATTTTTTCTTTTGATTTTGCTAAGAATATAAAATTCTATTTCTGAGAGTAAAATTTACTTTTCTGTGCATTTCTTATGGATGCATAAATAAACTCTGATGAGAGTGAAATTCTATTACTGAGAGTAAAGTTGACTTTGCTGAGTGCTGTTATGAGGCCTGTTTTTGACTTACTTTTGATAGTAAAGTTAATAAGAAATTAATGACAAATAAATAACCAATAACGCTATATTACCGCCGCTGGTTCATCAGATGTTTGCAGAGAGAGGAGATGTTTTTCATTACTTGGGAGTATTGAATCCCTTCTAGCATTCTCATTGTAAAATGTTGTTTTCTCTTTGCGAAGATATCTTTGACACGGAGACAAAAGAATCTAGATATGTTTAAGCAATTGTTGAATAGTCTTTTTCCTCGCTCTATACCTTTTTCTCTTTTTTTCGATCTAAATTCTAAAAGATAGTTTAGGTTTTTATTCATGTAAACAATTGCTAAAAAATGATTCTCTCTCTTTCTATTTCTATCTTTCTATCCATCTATCTCCTTCTCACTTTTTTCAGAGTAAAATGTGTGAAGCAAAATTTTACAATAGCAAAGTGGCAAGTAATCAAAGTAATCTCTTAAAACAAACACTATTTCACAAAAACAATGCGAATTACTACTGAGGACGACCATACTAGTAAATATAAGAAATATGTTCAGCAGTATTCCGTCAGCTTTTGCTAGCAATCTTTCTCTTGTTCGCTGTCTCATTTAATTAAATTCGCTTCAATTGCATATAATAATAATATTTAATTTTATAACTCTATGTAAACGAAATTTTTTATGACATACTTTTATTAAATTCATTGAATTGAAATAATGTTACCAATATAAATTACAAAATTTAACAAAAATGAAAATATTATTTTATTAATTTATAGCGAATGATATTAAAAAATATTTATTATATGGTAAAATTGGGCTTTTAAATTTATTTTTATTTTAATAATTTAGAACCTTTTTTAAATTTTATTATTCAATCTCATGTGAAAAAATTTGTCCCTCAAAATTCTCTATTTTTTAATTGAATACCTCCTTATTATATATTAATTAAAAATAAAATCTTTAAATTATAAAGTAAGGTAAATTTTAAATATCAATTATTAACAATTGAATTAATTATAGTAAATTAATTACTTCAACTTATTTTTGTTTTAATTAAATATTTTTACAGTAATTCCTTATTTTCGATATTTCTTAGCAATTTAAATGCAAAAAATATTAATTTTATAATATCTTATTGATTTATAAGATATTTTAAATAACGTTTCAAGGAATTAACTTATATACCGTTATCAAAAAAGTGCTTTTTTATACCCATCACCTCGAAGGACGAGAAGTAAGAATATATAACAAAACGTTTGCAACATCCAGAAGGAAGTTTCAGATATCCTATAAAGTGTATATTATGTATACTATAGGCCGTATGTCCGCCTACAAATTTGCAATTTTTTTAATTGCTTTTTTTTTATTCTTAATTTATAATGAAAACTAAACATTAAAAGATATTAAAATGAATTTTCTTTCATTGCAGATATGGGTTCATGTCATTTTTATTTAAAACTATGTAAATGCGGTCTGGTGTTTCGTGACCCCTGTGCCACCGTATACTTATTCATGTAAAGACTTTTCAAAAGGTCTTATATGGGGAGTGGTCGGAAAAGTGTAACGATCCAAACTGTTTTGAATAGTGTCCGTCCTTAGGTCCAAACCCGTCACGGTACCAAATTTCACCAAAATATCTCAAAATCTGCAGACCTATAGATTGAATACAGGAAAACAAAATGGATACACAGACAGACAAGCTACAGTATAATTTTAACGTATGTTACGTTAGGTATGTTCTTCCAAACTAGATATACCCTTGCACTATAAATCGTATAAGATATAACAAGTCAAAATACTGTAGTGGACTGTAACCCGTCGGTAAATACCCTATTAACCACAAAAATATTCATTTCATGACTTTTCAAAAAAGGAACTTCATGGGAAACCAAACTTCTTCAAAGTATCTCAAAAACTGCGGCTCGCAGGTTGAACTCAATAAAACAAGATGGACAGATACACACATACTTCGATTCAGAAAGTGATTCTGAAAGTGATTTGAATCCACCTTTCTTATTTGCAACATTAGGTAAGTCAATTTGTATTCTATTCTGTTCTATTTTTGATAAAAAGCAAGCATGCAACCAATTGCACCCAGTTCAAACGTCGATATTTTTTGTTTACCACTATTTCATTGTATTCATATTAAAAAACGAAAGCTAATACATGTGGAACGGCAACAGGAAATAAAATTTAAGGAAACTCGCCTATAGTTCAATCATGCCTTGAATTTAACTTGAATAGAATCGAAACAAGAAAAGTCTTAATAATATTCATATGAATAAGAGTCTCGTTTCATGAGAACTGTCACGTTTGTTCCTAATTAGGAAAGCGGAAACTTACCCCAAAGGAAGGAGAATTCGCAATGAATTAACCGCATTCATAGATGGTCGGACCTACATTTAAAACAGTTTCAAATATGGAGTTTTCACTGATAATTGTTACTTTACCGTAAAATATTTTTCTGCGGATATATAACATAAAAATCTTTTCGGCTGCATTAAGTTATGTAAATTATAGCTGGACATTGATATCATAACCCAATTACAAAATAGCGATCAATCATGTCAATTGAACGTATTGACAGAAAACCGCAATATTGAGGTTAAGATTGCTGGATTTATTCAAAAGAAAGTACAAAAATTTAGGTACGTGAACAAGAAAACAGTTCTTTTAAAGTACACTTCTAGAAAAAGGAACTTTCTTCAGTCGTACTCTACATACTTAAAAGAGAACTGCAAAAGTCGTTTTTGTGTGATTTGAAGTCGAAAATATTTTCTATTACTTTTCAAACTATTCAACTAACAATAATTTACAGCTTTGTAGGCTTACATAATAAAATATCGTTTCATCCTTTAATCTGAGAATAAAAATTGAACGTATGCAAAATAATGTAAGAACAACATGATGCGTCTTTAGTAACAAATCTCAAATAGTAAAAACAATGAGAAATCGCGTTACCATATTACTTGACAACAAAAAATAGGGAAATCGATGTAAGATTATTACATGTAAGATATTTACATTATATTTACATTAATTTTAAGCAAAAATATATGTTTGAAAAAAAAATATGTAAAAAACAACAATGACAATATTAATATAAATGCGGATTAGATTTGTGATTAATTAATGAAATGAAGAATGAAGAAAAATAACATTAGAAGAAGAAGAAGAATGGAGGCGGACTTCACTGACAGGGTAAAACAAAGCAAAAGAATTGATAAAATTTTTTGATTTGACAATCGCCTTTATTGCTTGTTTTTCATTTCTTACAAAAAAATAAAATTTTAAAAGATGTACGACAAAGAAGATTTAAATTACTACAAACTAAACATACATTAGATAAATGATTTCGAAATTTCTTATGGGTTTTCTCATTTTTGTCCTATTTGTGTGTATACATGTAAGTACATGTGATTGACTAATTCCGACAACGCCTCGTAGAAAGTCGGCAAAGTATAACGCACCATTGTGTGAAGCGCTAAGGCTATGCGTACCGAAAAATTATTCAACATTTTATAAGCCTATTTATATATTAGGAATTGGCAAATCAAATGGTTTTGGTAAAAAACAAAATCTAATTTCATATATCATATCCCACTATTTTAACCTTTTTTTACATTGCATTGTATGGAATTTCAATTTATAATACATTATTTTCCAGGAAGTGAAAAAAGCAACAAACGCGTTTGATTTTTATTTTAAAATATCTAGAATTGTTTTATTAAAGTGTACTATGTTAAAGAGCGACTTCCAAATAATGAAACAATTAATAATAAATAATAAAAAGTAAAGGATTCTCGATGCCGTCATGGAAATTTTTTTTATTCGTTTTTTCATCAATCAATTTCAAAATGATTATATTTTTTTGCACTAATCTTGCTATCATAATCTTTGTGTTAATTTATTATTTTTGCTACCCAAACTTTATGTTAATTCTTTACGTATACATAATGAACGTTAATATTAAAGTAAACAAGCTCGTTTATTAATTAGTGATAAAGAAGACTAATTAGATAAAAAATTGTTGTGTATTAAGCTTGTTATTTATTTCTTACGAATTAATGTATGGTATAAACGAAAATTGCAAATCACATAATATAAAAAAATGTATTTTAATGTAAGAAAAAACATAAATTAGATAAATGATTACAAAATTTAAAAGAAACTGCTTTTACTTCTTTTTGCGATTACTTGTGTATGTATACATGCAACATCACATGATTTGTCTATTCCCATAAAAATTGTCAAAAAGTCGGCAAAATTTAAATCCCAACCCGAAAATAAGAAAATACTTCGAATGTTAACATCGTAATCACTACAGTTGTGTTAATATAGGCGAAATATCATTGTGTTTCGATTCTTTGGTTTTGTATTTTCGACTTCTTATTGAAAACGAATATAAATGGCAACAACTTAGGTAATCAGCTGATTAAATTCAAACGAAAAGTAGAACGCAGCCTGACATTGGAGGTATATTATCGCACTCTAATATTTGTATTGACTTAATCAAGTGAAATATTTTGAATTTCAGCTGTCGACTGAATCAGAATCGGGAATTGTTGTTCGTGGAATATACATTTCATCACGAGAAGGAGATTTTACCCGAAGACAACCAGGAAATGTAGAAATTTTTATTACTTCTGATAAGTAATTGGAAAATATTCTAGCTGTAGAAATTCATATAGTAGAAGACTTCATGAAAGAAAAGAGTATGGCGCCTTCTGAGATAAATCGGGTAAGTTACCTCATTGAATTTTGGAATTTTCAGTTCTGAAGTCATTCTCAAATAGATTAAACAAAGTGTTGAAGATAAATTTGCTGAATTAAAATCTGCATTGATGATGCGTGAAAAGCTGTTGCTAAGACAATTGGATGTTATAAACAATACCTATAAACAACAGCAACTAGGAATGGCTGTTACAACAACATCAAATGTAACCGATATACAGTTTGTATGTGATAATGAAAAGGAGCTGTTGACAACCATTCGTAATTTTGGGCGTTATCATTTAACCAATATTAATCTGGCATTACAAGATCTATATTTAAAAAATGAAGACTACATAGAGCCTATAGATGACCATGAAACTATGTTCAAAGATTTGAATTCGGAAGAAATCGATGGAAAAGCGAAAGAATATAATGATGATGAGTCAGTATTGATAGACTTTTCAAGTCATAAATCTATAATGGCGCACAATGCGAAAAGGATGAATAATTCAATAGTTAATATAACATTAAACGAAGCCAAAGAATTAATTAGAAAGGCTAAAACGAGACGAGAGACGGTGGTGCCACCTCTGAATTTGGAGGAATTAGACGATGAGGTAGAATCTTCTATAGCCGAAGCAGTATCGAGCCTTTCAAGAAGCAATGAGAGCTGCGTTGACAGTATACCAGATGTCAATCACAAGTACTCACAGACACAGCAAATGGCAAAAAATAGGCACATGAAGCCAGAGATAACCATAAATAACTGTAATGGAATTATTAATTTGCGAAACATTGCTTCGCTAACAATCAATTGCACCACCGAGGATAACATAAAAGCACAAATACCGCTAAGACATCATGTGCATGATTTGCACTTAAACCCAGACTTAAGTAAAGCAAATGAAAAAAACTTCTCAATAGGGTCTTCGAGCTCTAATATAATGCAAACTAAAACTGGATCTAAACCAAAATCCTTGTTAGAATCCATAATGGTTACAACTAGCGGATCTACGGAGTGTAACAGCAGTATGCAAACCACCGTTACCACAAGCACCAGTGATAATACCACACCGGCGAGTATGTCAAATTACTTAAATAGTCCTAGATTGCAGTCGAAGAAGCAAAAATCCAAAAAGACATATAAAAATGAAAAAACAACACATATCGATGAGCACGACGGTGATTTTCAGGACTCTTCGTCAGCTGAAGTCAACTGTGAATTTTACAATCGCTTGCTGAATGAAATTAAAAAGACTATGCAACAAAACCCAAAGGTGCGCACTAAATGTTTAAATGCTACTGCGGCAACTATAGCAAAGACCGAAAAGGAACAACCACCTGATGGCGTAACAACTGATAATGTACATTTACACGTGCCTTTGGAGGACTACCTAAACCCTCAAAAGCCTCAACGTAAACGCTTTATTTTGAAAAATTTCGAAAACTTGCGAATCATTTTAGAAGCGCAGAACGGTGGCGATGAGGATGTTTTTCATCCTGTACAAATTGAACAATGGTTGGCTGAAATTATAGCCGATACTGACTTGGAGCCGATACGAAATGCCGATATACTGGAACATTCTAAAATTTACACAAACGACCAAGAAAATTAAACATTTATATAATAGATTTTTACTGCTTCAAAATCAATTTAATTTGATTTAGTTTTGTACTTAAGTTGTACTTAATTGCGACTGAAGACTGCACACCTCACATATGCTTTTTCGTACTCGTAGCATAATAATTTTCTCCAAATTTTAATAATTAATGAATTATTTGCATGAGTCTTCTAATATTTAATTTTTATACACTTAAAACAACAAAACACTACGATATTTAAAAAAAACGCAAAATATTTTTTAATGTCGGAAGCAATGACGTTCATGATAACTAATCACAAACTAATTGCCGATATAAACGTACATTTATGTTTTTACGTAAAAATGTCTTTAATAAAGTATTGTGTCATAATTCCATAATTTTTAAGAAATCTTTAAACATCTAATAAAAGAAGAAATCAAGAAAGCAAGCAAGCAAGCAAGCTTCAATGTTGGATCCATCAATATATGCCACTTATAAAATTGCATCATAGTCTTCTATAAATTTTAGAACAGTGTTATCTATCTGTCCATTAATTTCTCTGTTGTTGTTGCAGGAATGGCGATAGCTGAAAGCTGAATTTTGAATTACGTTTCTATTTGCGCATACAGAGTACGTTCACAGTTCATTAGGGTTATCGGTCGTAGTTGATATGGAATAAGTTTTCGCAACGAAAACATAGGCATACTGCATGCGCGGAAAAGGCAAATGCCATGGGGGAAACAAATTTAACCGCTTCAGGAGTGATTTCTTTTTGCTCTACTTTCATTTTCCTAACCGTACACCCTGAGTATCGATAGCATAGCAGTCAGACCAAAATATTTGTGTTTTTCTTATTGCGAGACTTTATAATGATGATTTAGTTTATTATCAAATTTAAATTGTGATATATGAAAAAAAACATGTGTACCTAGGGGCGTTAAAAGATTAACGAATTTACCCGAATATTGACCTGTAATTTCGGCCCAGTCTTTCAATAAGATTATTACCATGAATCGTTTCCCTTCTGAAGCACACATTTTTTTTTTGTTCGGAGCAGACAAATATATTTTATAAAGTTTCTCGTTTACTTTCAAAAACAACTCTTCTCACATGGTTTTAAGACTACATAAGATCTTCGGGCTTAATTAGAGAATATCTTATATGCGTATAGAATATCAAACTTTTCAGCAAAGATTTTTATTAAAGATTTTGTAAAAATTGCTTAAGAATAGAACAACCAGAGTTCTGTATATACCTGCTTTTACTAAAAGTCTTCGAATTACATCGGAAAATTTGTTTCGATGGGCCTAGTAAATATTTTCGCTTACTATACACTTGTAGCACAGAGTATATTAAGTTCGTCCAGACTTACCTAACATCCAAACCACCATTTATTCTATCAAATTCAGAATCATTTTCTGAATCGATGTAAGCTTGTACGTACATCCGATTTCTGTCCAAGCATTTTTGCGTTCAATCTACGGGTCGCAATTTTCAAGATGTTGTGATGAAATTTTGGTAAACTGACGTGTTTTTTAACCCAAGGACGCACACTACTGAAAATGGTTTGAATCGGTTCACTTTTTTGACAACTCGCCAAATAACGTCTTATTTTCAAAAGCCATTATATGGAACAGAATTGCTTTTGTTAAAACATTTCGACAAACCTCTCTAAGTGAGTAATAGTGATTCGACATTCTAAATTAGCATGAAAAATTTGGTTCAGCTGCGGTAATTTTTTGAATACCTTCTCATATAACTCCTTCTACGAAAACTGAATCTTTACATGATAAAAAGATATAATTTTTAATATAACATTGTGAAAGTTAGTTCATAGTAGTAAATTGGCATAGAAATCAACCTTACCGAATTTGGGCCACATATGTCTATTTTTTGGAAACCACCTCATATAAGAATTCTCAAGAAACGTTCATTCTTATAGGCCGAAAAAGTCTAATTGTTAAGGTTTTGTGATGAAAATTTTTTTTATAATAGTAATTTGGCATAAAAGTTAAGTAAACCAAGTTTGAACCATATGGATCTTTTTCTTGGGCCCCATGAATAAGATTTCTCATGAATAGTAAGCCCTTCAGAGGAAGGTTTAATTTTTAATATTTTCTGATGAAAATTAGTTCATAGTTAGTTCAATTCCCCCACGAAAGTTAACGATACGGAATTTGGACCAGATACGTCTATTTTTAAGATCCCATAGCGCTTATCATGAAAAGCAAATCCTTATACGGAGAGAAAGTCTAATTTTTTACTTAAAATAACGATAACTGAAAAATAATAAAATTTGTGTGAAGTGAATTAAATTTACTAAATTTGGCCTATGCCAAGTGATGTTTTAGACATCCTCTAATATTTGTGGTTTCATTAAAAGGATGCCTTTGAAATTAACAAGAAAACAGCACTAAGCAAAGTCATGTGGGCAATCTAATAATCGACCTTGCCCGACTATAATGCTCTTACTTGTTTGTTTTTATAAAGATATGCCCACGATCGTTAATTATAGATAAAAATGTATCGAGTTTTCGAACGATTTCAGTTTGTCAGTTGTCATGATTTCGATGAGTGGATTGTATCCATTTTTCAATTTGTTGATCCATTTCTTCGATCAGAATGCGCGTGAGTCGATAGCTTTAAATCCGCACATACAAATCACGCACGATTTTATTCGAAAACGACAGCTAAAAACAGACTCCTGTATTTTCGCTTGCAATTGCAGTTCGCAACTAAATGTCAATTTTAATAGCATCTTTTTTTCTTGATAGTCGAAAAGTATCAATCCAGTAAAGAGTCTTGCAACAATTTTTAGAACAGTCATACAAAGATTGTGTCGAACATGGGTTCGGTAATCGGTCGGGGTGATTCGACTATAGTTAAGATAACACAGTTTATTTCAAACCCTTACGTAACAGCAATAGACATTGTTAGGAAAAGCGAAGCGATGATTTTTCTGGACGCCTGTCCCTTTCTGTGCATGTACACATGAATTTGTGGCTTTTCGCGATGCCCGAGCAGACTTGCATATAAGTGAATCTTCTTAAAGAAATTAAACATCATTCCTGTTGCTCTTTGTAGTTTGCGTACGACTATATATGTGTATATCGTATATATATATATATATATATATATAAATATTTATATATATATATACGATTTGTATATATATGAATTATTTATTTAATTATTTTTTGTAATATTCTGTTTTTTATGTTTAGTACTATATATATAAATAATTATACTTCCTGGGTAATCATTAACTTTTTTATGTATTTCTTTTATGAACATCAAATAAATTACTTATCTATTACAAACAAGTTTTATATAGAATTGCTTGAAGCAAGAAAAATTATTTGGAGAAGTACAACAAAAACTGTATTTATATGATGTACGTATTGCGCATATGTATGTAGACAAATTGTAAATTTATGATGAATTTATGATTGAAAAAGCACATCAAAGTTATCAAAAAAAATTTGCATTGATAGACGTAGAGATATCAATTGATTTTAAGAACGCAAACCGAAGAGAACCCTTATAAAGTTCTCTTGTCATACCCCTCTCTACATATTTTATATACTAAAGTAACTAAAGACTATTGATCTCATTTGTCTCATTTGAAGTAAGATAGAAAGAAGAAAAAGACTTGCTATTGTATGAATAACGTTAACGAGAAAAAAACATTAAAAAAAATTACATTTAATTAGCTAAGATTACATCTTAAGTGCAGAATATAAATCCTTCATATGATCACAATGGCCAGAAATTTATTATGACACAATAGATAGATAAGTTACTTTCATCCTTTTTCCCACTTTATGCAAGGCGATCGATCATGCGTCGAACCTTACTGAAAACGAAGAGTAAGAGGAAACCCCGTTTGCCTGTTAACAAATTTTCAAACTAATTTTGTCTTGAATATAAGATTTTCGACCCATTCGATAAGTAAACGGCAACTACTCTAGATTCAAGTAAGGCTCGTTCATAAGTGAACACGACAAAGAAAGCGATATTACAACAACCAAGCGATAACCGATAACCTGTTTAAGTAACCGTTTCCGAGAGAGAGAGAAATCAATAGTTCAGATATATTCGTTTACGATATAGCCGTAGCCGTAGCGTTTTCGACGATTGTCTTCTCTGCTACCCAGACAAAGACTTGCTGCTTTCACTCCATCTCATTTTCTCATTCATTCAATTGTATTCATTGTATTAACAAAGACAACTTTCAAAGTTCAACATAAGTTCAAGATATTAAATCTCGAATCGTCGCAATGAACGTCCAATGCATAAATTTTGATCGGAGCTCTGGTAGAAGTGATTGGATATCAAGACGTCGGGCATACCACAGATGGTAACAATCGCATTGGCAGGTTTGCATATTCAAGGACTTCATAATATCTAAAATGCATTTTTTTTTTCTGCTTTTAAAGACAAATAAGTATAAGAAAGAATAACCTATGGAACATCCTTACCAATTCCATAAGCGAGGATGTCTCAACTATAGAATTGTCGCAAATAGAAACGAAAGAAACTTTACGCTCTACAACTGAGTGGACAAGGGGGACTGCTAGCCATTTTCATTATATTATATAAACTATGGCTTTATCACAAACACTACCATGTAATTTAAGGTCCGCTCATTAAAGTGCCAATGATCCACTATTTGATTTATGTCAAACGTCCACGTCGTAGTCAGCAGCGCAATATAATTATAACGATTACGATAATGATGGTTTTATTTATATAAAATAATTTATTCGCTTTCACCATTCAAGTAACAAAGTAACTTCCCTTCACGATTCTTGCATCCAGCCAATAATATGCGTTCAACCTTGTTCGCGAGGTACAATGTTCGGTCGCCGACGCAACACAATAGACAACTAAAGCTCAAGTGCTTGTAATGATTTAGGTCTACTAGTTTCATTTACTTCTACAATGGATCTAAAATAACTAAGGCCGGGAAACGTGCAGCGCTTAAATCGAGTTACACTTTTTCGTTAATCAAGAGTGTACGTATGTGCTAATAATGTAGTCTCTGTAATGCGTCCTTAGGTGGACTTATGAAAACTAAATTGTACTCAATAATCTTTTTGTAAGCGCTAACGTGAAAGGTGTATATATTCTTTATTTATCGGAATGAAAATTTAACAAAAGAGCAAATTCACTAAAAAACTATCTAAAATAAAAATAGTTCACCAATATTTGATAAAAAAACTATGTACAGAACATTTAAGGTAGGCAAATATTATTACTGAGAAAATTAACCTGGGTCCTCGAGAGTAAAACTGTTTCTCTTTGAAAAGGATGGGAAGATCTAATAACAACAATTAGATGAGTCACAGGACACCCATCTTAAAAGATCATGATCTGAAGGCAATATGATGGAAGATAATTTACTTGAATCATTTATGCAGTTTAATAGAGAATAACCTTGACAAAGCAATATTATTGAAGATGTATATTATAATCGATGCTTGCCACGCCTCTATTGCAAAGAGTAGGCAATACGACCTTTTGAGGAATTTTTGCGGTTGGTGTGTTTGTTGCTATAACCAATCAGTTCACTGGTGTTGTTCACTAATTGAGTAACGACTATCGCAACATCTTGATCGCACTGCTGCACATCTCCCCATACTCCAATCTTGTGGAGTCACAAGGTAACCTTGTTAAAGAAAACCAAAACGGACTTATGGCATCTTTTCGAAGGAAATCGTGGTCATAGAAATTTCTTATTATTCCAAAAAGGTGACGTTCAGTTTTGGAGACTATTAAGGAAATCTGAAGCTATCAGCTTTGAACAATATTCTAAAACAATTCTAAGGAATACTTCAGTGAGTGTGGTATGGAACAGAGTCAATAAAATAACCAGCACTCCATACTTCAATCATATTGTTGCCGTCTACATTCCAAATGTGACAGGAGATTCTTAACCACTTCCAAGAAGTATGGTCTGAATACTCGTCTGACTGCAATTTCTCTTGATGACTCATTGCAAATAAGGGAACTCCAGTTACTTTATCCAATATCCATCCTATTAACGGATGCAATACTTTTCTAGAAAAACCTACATCCGCATCAGGACCTAAGAGCTGTCTTACCAACGTAAAAGGGAAAACACCAGCCTTGGATCGTATTTCATACCATACGGTCAAAGCACTGTCTATTTCAAGTAAGCGTAAATTAGTTGATCTATATAACTCAATCTTTTCTACCGGTAATAATTCCAATCCATGGAAACTTGCGGTAATCGTTGCCATTCCAAAAAATAAGAAAATTTCTGTGGCATCAGACTACCATTGAATCTTTTTGCTATCCTGCCTCTCTGAACTATTGAAGAAAATTATGACTTCAAGAGTATCTTGGTTTGTTGAGTCAGTTAAATCAGACAGAAGTTGTGTTGATGCTCAACCACACACTGACTATTTTACAACGGAAGCAGCAATACCTGAAGGAAATCATTTTACAATTGGTTTTATAAAAAGGTGTTCCAAAGAGCTTGATGATCCCTACATTACGAAAAGGCTGTTCATGTGTTTGGTTAGACCCGAGTTAGACTCGAGTATGCCTCTGTTGTGTGGTCTCCTTCATATAGGTGCTATGTTCAAAAGCAATTCTTGCTGTTTTCCCTTGGAAATTTGGGTCGGGATCCGATTGCCTCTCTTCCTCCCTATGACAATAGGTTGCTTCTGCTGTCCTTAACGTCTCTTGCGAAACGTAGGTTTGTTCTTGGCGTTTCCTTTGTAATCAAAGTAATAAATGGTGCTATTGGTAGACTCGCTTTCATTACTTGGTGAAATAAGCTTTAATGTCCCTAACCGCTTCTCTAGGCACTTTATCTTGGTTAAGCTTATAATTATGAGTTGTTTAATCCGCTCCGTGTCGTTTGCAAGAACCTAAATGACGTCTGTCACTTATTCTCGTTATCGGACTCTTTAAAGTCCATTAAAGCAACATTACTTAGTACGCGTGATTTACCTATGTCGTGCTTAAACTAGCTTTTATCCTTAAACAGTCGTTACGATTCGAAAATGAATTGTTGTTAACTGTTATCGGTTGCCAGGCTTATGCATGTTTCCGATAGCTTAGGGGCTCATTTGCAATTTGGTCCTGTACCGGTTGTAAGCGTGGCTCTATGCTGGTTGTGTACATGCTTTTTTTTTTCCTTCTTATTTGTTTTATTGTACTTATACTAAGTTTTATTATTAACTTAATATAAGTTTTGCGTTAAGAGCCAATTGAACTCGACTGTTATTTGTTTAGTTGAGTTTCATGTATAAGTAGAATTAAAATAAATAAATAAATAAAATAAATAAATTCTTTCAATCGACTTTGGAAAGACTTTTGCCAGAATTTGCCTACATGTTATCTTAAACAATTCGAAATCATGGAAATCAAATCTTTCATGTCGCAGAAGCGGTTCAAAATTACAGTCAATAGTCACTTTTCAAAGTCTTTTCCTATGCTCAATGAAATGCTTCTATCTATTACACTTCCCTCAAATTGCATTCAATGAAATAATAAGTAAGACGCTCTGCCAGATTCCAAAAAATATCGATACAGGAATTAAAAAAATTCCACATTTGTAGAAAACGCGTATGTGATGCGGCAAGTCGGAACATGTACATAAATAATTTATCAGTTCAAAATGCGTAAACACGCGGGGTTTTGGGTCTTACATTTTCTCCCAAACTTCAAATGGAATACTACTAACAATATAAGAAGCATCAATGCCGCGGATGAAGAAAAAATGCAAATTTTTTTGGTTCCAAGGTTTTCGGTACATTTTCCGCACCTTTATTTATTATGGGCGACATAATAAAAAAGTTTGATCTTCAAAAGTATGTTGGGCAAAAAATTGAAGAGAAAACTGATGAAAAAAATCGACAGTCATCATCATCCACACTACTTGCTGGTTAATTCTAGCCTCGTTCCAACTCTACATTCAATCAACATAGGGAAAATCAAGATTGGTAGCATTTGCAAGAATCCGGCTTGGACATACTATTGCAACATATCAACGAATTCTTAAGAAATCTACTCCTCAGATATGCAACTGTGGAAAATATCTCACGATAAAGGATTTACTTGCTAGTGCCCATTGCTACTCTTAGTCCTAGAATTTATTCTTTTGGTCTAAATATATTATAATAATTAATGATAATAATTAATTACTAATAATAATATCATGATCGATATATTGCGTATAATGAATGATTTCAAAATTATTTTTTAGGCAGCGTCGGTAAATCCGTTCCTAATGTTACAAAGGAAAGCAGGAGAAGATGAAAAGAAAAAAAAAACAAGCAACTGCTGGAGATGGCGTGATAGCATTAAATTTAGCTATTTTTTCTTTTTTTTTTTTTTCCTTATACTTGTTCGCAATGTATTATTCTTTTGCTTATTTCCTAAGTACATTATTCTTCAGATTATATTGCATCGCATGTCCTCGTTTAATTCATTTTCTATTGTAAATATATTATGTTGTAGAATTTTTCTCATCCTTAAGATTAATAGTAACTACAATTTTCGAAAACATAACCTATTTATTAAGACGGTTCTGGCATATTCCGTACTAGATGCAATCTTAGTTTTGTCTGATTTATAGTTAAAATAAGTCATTTCTTAATTGTAAACGAAACAAATTCAAATTTTTTAAATTTAAAGGAAATTAAAAATTTATAATAGTCTTAGAGCGAATCTTTGATTTCACATCTTTAAACTTATGCATTATAACTGAGCTGGATTTATTAAAAACGGGGACGTTTAACTGATCGATCGGGACGAACTTATGCTAGGGAATATTTGTATCAGATTTTGGATTAATATCACGTGTTACGGTCAAATACTGCTTTAAATTACAGTGTTTTGCCTATTTTTGGTTCCTGAGGGGTGAGGGAGCCGTGGGGGGGAGGGGGGGGGGGGGGTCTTGTAAGCGGATTAAGGCCATTGCTTCAAGTTTTAGATTAATTTCACCTATGAATCATACGTTCTAGTTTTTCTCTATTCTTTATGAAAATGGCTGGGAGCGAATAGCGCCTATATATAAACTTTATATGTGGCCGCCATATGCACATGGAGTGCATATTGACTTATCATTGGCAGACGAAAGGGAATCAAAATCATACGCTAATTAGGTAGATATGTACATACTTTGTTGGGCATCTGATGCATATTCTTGTAGTTGTTACACACAGAAGGACGAACTTAGTATACTTTTATTCTTAGATGATAGTTATAAGCATACTAAAATTGATACATAATCAAAAAACAAAATCTTAAACTAAACATATTACTCGTCTTGTATTTTGGGTGATGAACTCGTTAAATATTTGGTATGAATTTTTATCACCTGAATGAGGTTTTATATACTATAAAATCAACGGTTAAATGATATTGATGAGCAGATGTTAGGCATATTAGTAAACCAGACTAGGATATTGAGCTATGATAAAGGAAGCGTCTATGTTCAATGTCGCAAACAAGTTTCGCTGCTAGAGGGAAAGCCGCTTCAATATTAGTTAATGTTTTCTCCATAGATTTACTTTGTGTATTAATTAAATGTAGTCGTCGCTGGCAATTAAATTCCTTAGAAATAGATTGAGCTCGTCAAGCTAAAGAGACCTGATAGAAGAGCCATTCTTCCATAAACGATGGTACAAATGCTTTTGAAGTTGTAAATTTCACCTTTGGTTTTAGTAAACGTAGCTGCTCTTCAAATAGTTCTAGTGATTCAACGCAACTAGTGCCATTACCGTGTGTTAAATATTTACCATCCGATTTTAAAATATGGAACGAATGTTCAAGTATGGTACGTATAAAATCCCAGCATTCACCGATTGGTGCGCCCGATATGGGTATATCCGTTAAATCACCAAATACGTAATCAAATTTTCGTCCCTCTGATATGAATTTTTTCATATATTCGACGCAATCGCCCACAATAATTTCATAATTGTCGCCCTTACGTTTCTCTAGGACATCACCGCAGATACTGTTCAAGTATTTGTTGCACGCTTGCATAACTAATTCATCAATTTCCAACATGACCACATGCTTAGGATTCTCTTTCAGTAATTCATAAAGCAAAGCACCGTCTCCACCTCCCAGAATGCAGATCTCCTTACCTTCATAATTCTCATTGCCACGTCCCATCAATGTTTCAGTGTAAATTAAATCTGATTCAGCAATATCTACAAAAATGTATGAAACAAACATTTATTTGTAATTAATTAATCTATTCATTCACTCATTGCATAACACTTATGCACTCAATTCACTTACTTTGCAATTCGTCCAATATTAACATGTTGCCCAATGTCTTGGAGTGCATAATCTGAATTTTTTGGAATGGTGAACGCGCCTCATACAGCAACGAATCAATATCATATTCAATAATGCGCTCATCTATAAATATAACCACAATTTTGTTCCTTTCTTTTCATTTCTTTCCGCTATATTTATTATAAAAGTTTATTTTTCATTTTAATTACATCTATCCACCTATACATACCCCTCCCTTTATATACAAAAAAAAAAAAAAAAAAAAAAAAAAAAAAAAAAAAAAAA